GCCTTAACAAACATTGAAAAGGAGTTAATTTGAGTTTTAGTATGATTCAGGGAAAAACCAAAAGCCTATATAAATATTCCAGTTTGCAGATGTGCCCAGATTTCAGGTGATAATATCCTCTAAGACTAGCAAGTCACTTTTACATCATCAATGAAAAGGCACAAAAAGTCACAAAATCCAAAAGCATAGTGAATTCCTGACAGGAGTGTTTTGAACTTGGTTCATCAGCACAAGATTCCTTGAACTTGGAGAATAGTGAGGTGACAGCAGTATAACTACGCAAGACAGCTTGAGGTGGAGAGGTGAAGGAGGGAAGGTAGATAGCCTGGGGAACGGTAAGGGATAGGATTCTGAGAAAGTTTAAAGGACTTGGTGACTGATGGAACATGGGACAACCTGGAAAACTTGATAAAATGTCACTGAAGTGCCATCATTCATTCAGCAAATACTCATTAAAGCTTTGAATGTGCCAGCATCGTGGCTCGTTGTGAATATGATGAGCAAGAGAGGCACAGACCCCTCCCTGGAGCCTCATGCTGGTGGAGGACACCAGGAGTGAACAAGGGGGCTATGTGCTGCGTCAGGTGGTGATGTTGAGGAGACCGCAGCAGCTGAAGAGGACGGGAAGGGGGTCTGGGCAGCCAGAAGTTGGTCAAGTTTGGGGAGGCCTTCCTGAGCTGCCACGGATGGAAATCTCCATGAGGGAGCTAGCCACGGGGTATCTGAGGGAGGAGCACTTCAGAGCAGGAAGAGTGAGCATCAGCTTCCCGAGGTGACGTGATGGCGCTTGGGGCTGGAGAAGAGTGAGCTGGGCAGCCCACTGTTGGCAGCTGGGGCAGGGGGCAGCGGGACTAGATCACGCTGGACCCCTTGATTCCACTGAGGATTTAGGTTTTTCCTTGAGGCAAAGTGAAATGGGAAGCCATTGGAGATTTTCACATTGACTTTTAGCAGGATCATTGCTGTGCGGAGAATTTGAAAGGGGCTAAAAGAGGAGATAGGAAAGGAAGCCATTGCAGTAACCCAGGTGAGAGAGGATGGAGCTCAGACCAGGCATTCACAGTACAGCTTATGGGGCCCTTGGTATTTTTTGAAGGTAGACCCTATGTGATGGGGTGTGTTAGTTTTTTACTATTCCTATAATGAATTACCATGAATTCAGTGGTAATTATTGACTTTCAGTTCTTTAGGTTAAAAGTCTTCACTAGATCAAGGTGTCAAGAGGGATATGGTCCTTTCTGGAGACTTGAGGAGAATCCCTTTTCTTGCCTCTAAGGGCTTCCCAGGTGTTCCAGGACTGTCTCCTGGTCTCAAGGTCTCTCGTCACATTCTTTGCCATGCAAAGAACATTCCGGATTCACATGTTCCAGAGATTAGGACATTTTGGAAGCCATTATTCTGCCTACCACATCATCTGAAGATCGAATGTGGGTTCTGAAATTTTAAAAATCTAGGATAACTAAATATTTTGACCTGAGCAACTGAAAGATTTAACAAACAGATGGTGGGGAAGATTTGTGGCTTTGGGGTGGATGCTGGGAGCTCAGTTTCAGACATGCAAAGTTTGAAATGCCCATTAAATAAATATCCAAGCAGAAGATAATGTAGTTGAATACATGAGACTAGAGTTTAGGGGTACAGATCTTAAGGACATAAAATGGGAGGTAGGCAAGACTGCTGAGGATTTGATAGGTGTGATGAATCCATTGTATTAAATTGAACACAGGGGAAAAAATGCAGAAGAGCTATATGTTAGCCAGCTTTTTCATCCTGTGACCAAAATACCTGACCAGAACAATTTAAAAGAGGAAAAGTTTATTTGGGATTCACAGTTTCAGAGGTCTCAGTCCACAGATGGCTGATTCCATTTTTCTGGGCTCAAGGTGAGGCAAAACATCATGGTAGAAGGGTATGGAGGTGGGAGGGGCAACAGGGAAGATGTACCTTTCCAGGGCACATCCCTAGTGACCCACCTCCTCTAGCCATGCCCCACCTGCCTGCAGTTACCACCCAATCTATCAAACTAGGATGGACTGATTAGGTCACAGCTCTCGCAACGAGTCATTTCACCTCCAAATATTCCTGTATTAACACAGGAGCTTTGGGGGGACACCTCACATCCAAAGTTTTAACAAGATACATCCAACCATAAACATAAAATGTTACTCTGGATCAATTTTACAATCTTGTTTCACTTAATCCCTTGAAAATTTTGTCCTTCCTTTTCTATGAACTATATTTCCAGAATTATCCAACTAGCCCTAACATATATAAATGACTAAGACATGATTTCATCTGGAATCAGCTTCTAATTCTGTCTTATTGAGGTTGTCTGTTATTTAGACGTATTTTCATGGATGCCCATTTGAGAGTTGTAATAGATTCACTTCAAAGGGCAGTCACTGACAAACTGCAGTACGTGTAGCATACACAAACGAGAGCTTTGAAAAGGAGTGAATGTCAGTCTTTTAGATTCAAAATTTTTACAGTGGAATCTCTATACTGGTAACAGAACAATTTTCATTAAATTTTGTTTTGAGTGATTTATAACCAACCATATTATTTGTTTTTCCTTCTTTTGGTTGGCACTATTAAATTTGCCAAAGCAGGACACGGACCTCTTGTACATTTTTAATGACCTTTGGGTGGTGGGGGAGGGGGACTTTTAGCCTGACTTAGTCCATATGCAGGACTAATGGAGAGAGGTGTGTGAATATCAGTGGAGTTGGTGGGCCCAAAAACTCAGCCTCCATGGGTCTCAGCCACTCCCCCTTCCAAATCGAGAACCCAAATGGCATAGCAACAAAAAGTTCTTTGGACTGGCTGAAGGGTGTTCCAGAGGCTGTGAACTTGCTATTTTCATCTCAGACTCATTGGATTCTATATTCTGCCCTTTGCAGACTTAAGCATTACAGTTACACCTGTCTGACAAGCCTGTGTGGTATCTAGTGTGCCCGTGAGTGGGGCAGGTTAGAAGAGCCTCCCTAGGAAGGCAGGCTGACCACAGGGTGGCACGGGCACTGAAGCCCTGGACAGGAAGGACTCTGGGGCAGCAGTGTGGTTTTGACCCTGTTTATTTCAGGGAAATCTGAGGTCATCATCCTGTTGTAGAAACTAATATAATGGTGACCCAGCATCATTAAGAAAAATTTAAAGTGTGCGTGTACTTTCTGCAGAAGGTAGAAGTTTGGTTGTCTGCTGCTGCAGGAGAGACTACCCTGGAACATAGCAGCTTACAATGAAGTTGACCACGTGTTATCTCTCATGTGTTTCTTTTTATGTTGAGTGGGCTCCCAGGGGTGCCTTTCTTCTCAGTCTGGTATTGACTGGGGTTGCAGTCATCTGCAGACTTGATGCAGCATCTTCAACAGCCCATTAGCACAGTGGGAGTCTATGCTGTCAGCCGCTGTGGCTTGGGCATCTCAGAGTCATAGACGATTGCAAAACGGAGTGTTCCAAGCGAGGGGTCCCTTGGAAGTGATTCAGCGTCACTGCATTCTTTTGGGCCTAGTGAGTCACAGGGCCAGCTCAGGTTCTAGGCGAGAGGAAATCACTGCACTGGAACAGTGTTAAGGGATGGTGGCCCATGTTAGTTCCGCTGTGTTAGTGCAGTGAGGATAAAGCACAATGTGTAACCAAGGGCTGGGGGAGCCGCTGGTCTCTAGAAAGAGGTCTGTTCAGAACCCGTGCCTGTTCCTTGAAGGTTCAAAGGGTCCCTGCTTTATATGACTTTCTTATAATTACAGGATTATTATACTGAGGGAGTTTTAGAAATTAAAATAAACATTTGGTAAAAATAAAAATAATCAATTTTTTTTAAGGCAAAACAGTTAAGAAATAGCAGCAAAATAATACCTAAGGCAATCATGGATTGTAATAGCAGTTTAATTTACATGTAGTATGAAAACCCTTTGAAGGGACTCTAATCAGAACAAAAATAAATAAATATAATGCTAAATTTCATCTTGTCTTGGCAGTCTAATGTTCTGGCTGTTGGATACCATCTTGAAGTCCATTTGTCCAGGGATGTGAAGCCACATGTTTCCTACAGCTGGTCTGTGTCTCACACCACAGGGGCAGCGAGATCTGAAGTGAAGCCATGTGTGGTGTTTGTGTCACACACCATTATAATTCCATTTTAATTGTGAAACAGTGGCTTTCAGAATGAATTTTTAAGAACTCTACCTGCATAGAGCTAAAAAGTCCTTCTCCTCCTTTGGTTCTTAGTTTCTCCCTCTCAACTTGCTCATGTGTAAGGTTATGAAAGTTCTACCTTGGGCTGAGGATGTGGCTCAAGTGGTAGTGCGCTCGCCTGGCATGCGTACGGTCCGGGTTCGATCCTCAGCACCACATACAAACAAACATGTTGTGTCCGCAGAAAACTAAAAAATAAATATTAAAAAAATTCTCTCTCTCTCTCTTTTAAAAAAAAAAAAAAAAGTTCTACCTTGTTCTTGCTCCCACCCAGGTGCATGCACGTGTGTGTGTGTGTGTGTGTGTGTGTCCCCTAATCTGTCGATCTAAGCCACAAAGGCAAATGTTTCCTGAGTGACTATTCCCTGGAGCCCCACTTGGCTAATGGAGAGGGCTTTTCTCGCCTTTGGGGACCAGCTAGTCCTTTTAGCCCCTGGCTCTACTGCCTGAAGCAATAGCTAAGCCAGGTGGTTGTGAAGAGAGAAATTAAATGAAAGCATATCACGGACTGTATTTTACTATTTGTTCTTTTTTTCTTTTTTCTTTTTTTTTAAGAGAGAGAGAGAGAGAGAATTTTTTAATGTTTATTTCTTAGTTTTCGGCGGACACAACATGTTTGTTTGTATGTGGTGCTGAGGATCGAACCCGGGCCGCACGCTCGCGCGCTACCGCTTGAGCCACATCCCCAGCCCTTGTTCTTTTTTTCTTGAGTTTTCTGTCTTTAATTTTTACCTGGTTAATGTGAGAAGAGACCCCTTTCGTCCCCCAGCAATGCTGATTGGATTTTTTCCCTCTTTTAATCACAGTGAGTGTGTGGAGGAAGAAAGACCACTTTTGCCTGACAATGGGGGATAAGTTTCTGGTGCACCTTACCATTTCTTAGGTAATTTCTCTTCATTTAAATTAGAGGTTGCCCTCTGTTAGCTCTTGGATCTGACATGTTGAGCTGAAGATCCAAAAATCTCAAGAAATATGCAGGAAATTTCTGATTTAATTAAGCAAAAGACCTTATTAGTGAAGCTGGTATAACCACACATGAAAAGAAAGAAATACCTTCACTTCCCTCACTTTACTTTCCAAACTGGCACAAACAAAAGTAAAATGAAAAGTTTTTTAACCTCCTTTCTTTAAACTAGAGGATTTTTGAATAATAAGAGACTTCTGGAAGCCCACATCAGGGGAACCCTCACCAGGCCTTCACAGCTCTCTTTTGTCATGGGATTAGGTCACCAGTGATTGATCAGCTGCACCCCCACCCCGCAGCTTTCCATTGGCCGTGAGGGTAGGCAGAGGCCTGTGACAGCTCAGGCCGAGAGCACCAGGCCTGCTGGGGAGTCATTCTCCAAAATGGCCAGGGAGAAGTTGCAGCCCACTAACCTGTAAGAGCCAGCCAAAATTGTTCATGGTCCTTTAAGCAAGTGGCAGAAATGACAGACTGTAGCAAGTTAGCTCAAAATATCTTGCTTTTTGTTTGAATGCCTGTAGTTTCTAACTTCTCATTTGTATGCCTGATTTTGCATTCTTTTTCGTGTGTTTATTTTTCAGCATGGTTTATTGACAGTCATTTGACATGTGAAGAGTACTGAAGAGGCCAGCACAGTGGGTCCACAGCAAGAGGAACTGGTGCCGGCTTGAGGAGTTTCACTTGCCAGAAACCTGGGACTGCGTCTTAGGGACGGGGACATCCCGGTGTGTGTTAGGAGGCTTTCAAACCCTTTTGCAATGGGTTACTGAGAGGAGAAGCTCGGTTGGGAGTGTCGGCTGCCTGAGCTCATTGGTGAACAAGATGGAAGAGGAAGAACTGGAGTGTCCAAACTCCACCTCGGAAAAGCGCTATTTTCCTGAATCCCTAGATTCCAGCGATGGGGATGAGGAAGGGGTCCTGGCCTGTGAGGACTTGGAACTGAACCCTTTTGATGGATTGCCATATTCATCGCGTTATTATAAACTTCTGAAAGAAAGAGAAGAGCTTCCAATATGGAAAGAAAAATACTCCTTTATGGAGAATCTGCTTCAAAATCAAATTGTGATCATTTCAGGAGATGCTAAATGTGGCAAGAGCTCTCAGGTGAGTAACCTCTACAAAAACAATTTGCTTTAGGTGTTGTGTGTAAGAGTGTGTGTGTGTGTGTGTGTGTTTAATTACATGTCACAGCATAGTGTTCTGCTATAATAACAATAATAGCTAAAACAAAAAAGCATCAGCAATTCAGATATCATAATTAAGTCAACTTATTTTATTTTACTAATGACAACTGAATAACAGTTAATACTTGTATGGAAATTGATTATGTTTAGTGAATCCCTGAATTATCTTTAGAATAACCCATTTAAATTATCTTATTTTGCATGTTATATTTTAAGACATGGTAGGTGTTATTTGCCCACCAGGGGATTAACTGCTACATGTATGTGCCCAGGGTTCTGATAATCAAAATGTGTGGTTGTGCTGGTTGGTGAAGTTGGTTCAGGATAATCAATACACCAGAGTGGCATATTTTGGCTGGCATGTTCTGACCTCCTACAGTCATATTTTAGCCTGGTTTGTTCTCAGCCCAAAAACTAAAGAGTTAATGAATCTTTACTGACCAGGTTGCTACTGCTGTAGTGGAACTTTGAGTTTTGATTTAAATGAGAGCTATGCTTCACTCTTAAATTATAGATATTTATAATGAAAGAATTAGAATAGAACACAAAAATCATCTGAAAAAAATCTTTAAAAAACCTGTCATTTAAAAAAAAAAGTTTTTAGTTGTCCATGGATGTTTATTTTATTTATTTATTTATATGTAATGCTGAGACTCGAACCCAGTGCCTTATACATACTAGGCAAGAGATCTACCACTGAGCCACAACTCCAACCCAGCCCAAGTCATTTTTTAGATGACAAACTGTAGCTAAGAAGAATTTGATGATTGGCTGTCTCATGTCATGTGGCTTTCTGAATTGGGATGAAAAGAATACTCTCCACTCTACGGAATCACTTCCAAGTTGTTTGTGACCGCTGGCACCTACTTGTTTTTAAATGTAATTAGGAGAGGAGGTGGGATAATAAGTGTTTTTAATCTGGTTTATAACTGCCAATATCAAGAGTATATTATGTTATGTTCATGATAAATTATTGTTACAACGGTTGATTTCAGTTCACCACAAGAAGCTAATTGTCATGAAGGTTCATTTCCAAGTCTTCAGTAGAACTAAATGAGTATATTTTTCCTGGTTATTGTGAACAAATGGCAAGTTTAAAATTTTTTAAATTTTATGTTGCAGTTAATTAAGACTTATAAAAAACAAATTCCCAATAGTACAGAGATTTTTCATATTTTGTTCACTCAGATTCCCCAAGAATAATATTTTACTATATTTGATTTATTATTCTCTCCCTCCCCCTGCCCTGTTACACACACACACACATTTTTATGCTGAAAGTTTGAAGAACTGGTTGATCACACAATGCCCTGTGCCTCCAAATACTTCAGCAAGTACTAAAAAACAGAGCATAGTCACAATGTAATTACTCAAACAGGGAGTGTACTGCTGACCTCTCATTATTATCTAATTTCTAGTCATTCACATTTAATCAATTTTCTACCCATGGGGGAAAATTATAAATTTATTTTAAAAAATTGTTTTCTAGTTCAAAAATTCAATCCAAAATTGTGTTGTAATTTCCATATGATTTAATTTTTTTCCTTGAGTCTGTAACAACACCTCAGCATCTCCTTGTCCTTCATGACCTTGACTTTTGTGGAGAGAGATCTTATGTGGAACTTCCCCTGTTTGAATGATCTGGTATATCCCCAGGGTTGAATTCAGGTTCTGCCTTTGTGGCAGGAAGACCACAGAAGTGCCCCGTGACCCCTCTCAGAGCATCCTATCAGAGGCCTAACATGTGGCTTCTTCCCAGCTGGGGGTGTTACATCTGATCATCGGTGAGGTGGTACCTGCCTGGTTTTTACTGTGGCGCTACTGTCCCCCTCCTTACTCAGGAGGTCTGTACTTGGAGGCCACTGTGACGCGTGCTTCTCGGCGTTCACCTCCAGGTCTAGTGTGACTTGCTGAGGCTGACCTTTCCAAGACTGCACTGGTGGTAGCCAGATGATGATTTTTCTCATTTCAACATCCCTTCTACATTTATTGTTTAGAATTTATCAGCTTTCTCTTTTTGTCATTTATTTAATTATTTATGTCAGTGCAGACTCTTATATTTTTTATTCTATTGATTATAGTTCATTACAAGGCAATCCAAAATACATAACAATTTCTTCTCTTAAAGATCACAAATTCTGACAGAAAACCCAAATAGTATATGGGAAATTTTAAAAAACTGTAGATGCAGGTTAACAGTTCTCAAATTCTGAGTATTCTAAGACTAAACAAGTAATAAAAATATTGTAAACAATGAGAGCTACATTTCTCATGGAGAAGGGAGTTACAAAAAATATGGAAATTGGGAGGGCTATGGTGGGCCCTCCCAATTTATTTTTGTTACTCAAATTGTCCCTGATATGCCCAGTGGGAACATCAAAGTCACTTCTGTGTCCTTGACTTACCTGCATCTGTCTCCAATACTTCTTTGCTTTCTGGCCCAGTGAGATGTGCCAGGCTCATCCAGGATATTCCCTGTGCCAGTCTAGGCAACAGCCCTTCTTCTCAAGAAGACTGGTTCCTTTTAGCAGCAAGCTGCATTTAGAAACCAGGACCTGGACCCTAGCTGTGCCCACTGCCATAGGTTTGTCATTTCTTCAAAGCCCTCTTGGTGGATAAAGCAAGGAAAAAGTTTCTCTCTCATGTCTGTCTGTCTGTCTATCTCAGTATGAGTTCCTAGTGGGGCCTCCCATACCAGTTCAGCACCACAGGGCCCATCATAGCCCTCTCAATTTCCATATTTTTTTGTAACTCCCTTCTCCATGAGAAACGTGGCTCTCATTGTTTACAATATTTTTATTACTTGTTTAGTCTTAGAATACTCAGAGCTTCAGAACTGTTAACCCACATCTACAGTTTTTTTTTTTTTAATTTCCCATATACTATTTGAGTTTTCTTTTAGAATTTGTGATCTTTAAGAGAAGAAATTGTTATGTATTTTGGAATGCATTAATACCTAGCCGTGATTTCTCCCGATATTTTTAGCTTCCCAATAACTTAAATAAATCATGCCTGTTTTCTCTTCAGTGGGAAGGCAGCGTGTATCTTCAGGTTCAGAGAAATAAAAATTGTACTTAAATGATGAGAAATGGGTCTGTTCATTGGTTGTTTTCTTAATTCTGGAAATAGATTGGTTATTTATTTTTAGAGGTTCTAAGACTATTTCCTTATTCCTCACAGTTTTAAAACCTTTCAAAGAAAAGCCTGTCTCCAGAGCCAAGTCTTCCAAAGGTCCTAAAATTCCATCACTGTTTGGTGCAGATGTTATGGAGGCTATTTTATGACTGCCCTAGGGGAAAAGAGGACAGTGTCTCATCTGTTTGTAGAGCCTTTCCCTATTACGTTTTTTTGGGGCAGGCTTGTGAAAGAGCCTGAAAGAAAGTGAAACATTTTTAGAACTATCTATTTTGCTTGCTTCTTCTCTAACTTGTCCTGAAATTCCCCACAAATGGATGGGTCAGTGAAGTGAATAAGCATGAAATGTCTAAGATCTAACTTCAACATACCTTATATATAATCAGAGATATGATAAATCATGGTATAATGGTATATTAAGAATTGTAATGCAAAAATAAATTAAAAAATAAAAGATCGAATTTCAGAAGCTGGATGGCATAGAACATCTCCATCCTACTGACTGGGCGAACTTTCCCATCATTTTCTGCTGGTAGATTGTACCTGTATTCACCCCAAATCAAGATGTGTGTAAATTACGATACCCAGGGATGTGCGACCTTTGATTCAGAAGGGCCCCACCACTCTGTAAAGAGTTCTGTTGGGCAGGACGAGCCACCTTAGGCACAGGCACTCTGCAAGGACCCTATTGAAGGGAGTCACACCTTTGGGGAGTTGGTGGTCCTCAGAGTCTCGTTTACCTTGTGAATTCTGTGATTCTGGTACTGAAATATGAGTGAGTGGTTGGGACCTTGGCACTCTGCCACAGAACTGGGGGCCCTAGTGACACCAAGCAAGGAAGGCAGAAAAGGAGTCTGGCCTCATGGACAGACTAGTGATTTAAAAATAAGGCTAGGGCCCTTTGGGACTAGATGTGTTGAAAAGAACAGTAGTAGTATCCTGTCTCACAGAGACAGGTCTTTTCTCTCACTTTCTTTATTCTTACTTAACCATTTTGCCATAAGATGTGGTAAAGCAATCTCTAGCTGCGGATGGACAGGCAGAAGGTTCTATACCATTACAGCTCACATGGATATCCTCCTGCACACCTCAGTGATAAGACCATGCTTGCTGCTTGCTGCTGCTGCTATATTCTAGTTCCCGTCTGGAGCTGGCTGCAGATTCTTACAGGAAATCTGCAGCCAACCCAAGGACCTTGGATTCTATCTCCCCCAGGATCCAGTAATCCAGCCTCTGTGCATGCTGCTCAAAGTCAGGAATGGAGCACCTTTGCTTCACTTTCCTAATTTATACAAGTTGCAGTAACTGAAGATGATCAAGGCTATCAGTGGATTGGGTTTTAGTCACCCGGGGGTCTCCTGTTTCCTATTCTCACAGCAGCAGATCAGCCTAAGTCCTAGCCATTTTCCTCCAGGTAGGAGGTGCAAGGCTGGGATGCACATTTTGGTCTCTGCTTAACACTGATTGCCTGCCTTGCAGGCTTCAGGGTTGGGACATAGGCTTTGGGACATAGCATAAGACACACCTCACTGCTCTGGCTTGAACATATTTGGCATATCATACAGTACAGGAAACTGCATCTATAAAATGAATTGAGAAATTATTAGGCAAGCTTTAGAAAGAAAAATTTAAAGTATTGATTTCTAGTTGGGGAGAGTTTCTAGGCCCAACATATAATCTTGGGACTTGTTTATTGCCAAAGTTGCCAGCAAGTTGCTTTGTAGATAAATTATTTTTTTCATATGTTAAAGGAGCAATTTCCTATTTTTATCACCACATTGCATAACTTTTGCTAAATGTTCAGTGCCATTTAAGTCACAAAATCGCCCAGGATTCAGTGTTTCTCTGAAGACAGCTAAAGCCAAATGATTTGTGAAAAGACACAGTTAGCTGTACTTCCTAGTTCCCATAAAGTCAACTTGGTGACTAACCTGTCCAGAGTAACACTTCCTGATGGGGAATGTCTTCGAGACCTCTATCTGGTAGGTAATTCAGTAGTGAGAAGAGGAAGGTATTCTGAGGGACAGTGGAAAAGCTGCCGAGTGGCTACTCAGAGGAGAATTGCAGGCAGGACAAGGAGCACAGACACCAGCAGTAGGCTTCCTGTTAATTATGGCACAGAATTCCAGGGTTCCTTAAAGAGCTATAGCCTCAGTGTCCCTCAAAAGTAGAAAATATCCAAATTTCCAGCATTTGCTGCATCATAACTTTTTTAGGCCAATATTTGGAATTTGCTGAGGAATCAAACTTCAGAATGCACCTTTGCTTTCCTAGAGTGATTCCAAGACATGACAACATGCAGGAATTCTAATAGAGAGGACAGCTAGCTCTGTCTCATTCCTTTATATTCAGAAATGACCCTTCAGTTTGTATTCCCATCTCTTACTGTTCCTACCCACAAACAGTTGTTGCCCAAAGCGGAGACGCATCTTATGTAGTGAGAATCCTAGTGGAGTGTGTGCTCTGAAATTAGTTGTAGTTTCTATACAGCTAGGAACTTGGCCACTAAACGTGTGTGTTCAGCCTTGCCCTAGATATTATCTGACATATGGAAGGACTGTTCCCATTTTATTTTCTCAAGTAAATAAAATGAGGGGATTGGCCTACATGGCTTCCAGAGATTCCTTTTAGCTCTGAAATTCTAGGATTGCCATGCCTTTATGTCTAGCTCTGACCTCTCTCTCAGGCCTGCTTCTCAGTTGACCTCAGGCAGCTCCACCTAATGTCTCTCATTGTCACTTAGTCAGGGACCGTCATACTGACCATCTTCCTGACAGTCCCAAAGGCCATCTCTTTTCCTTCCTCTTTTCCTCTCAATAGAACTTAGTATTATTATCTTGCTTCACTCATTTATTTTACTTTCTAATTAACAGTTGTTACTAATTTATGCCATTACTCTGGGGTTTTATATTAGAAACCATGGAATATTTATTTTTTCTTCCTATGCATAATTAGTTAATGGGTACTGCCTATTTCTCCTAGGTTCTATTCTCTTGTGCTTAGTCCTGAGCCCAGCCTTTCTCTGCCTTCTTTTCAATTATGATGTCTTTATCATCCATCCATCCAAATATTTATTTTCCATGTGTCAGGTCCTCTATTAAATATTGAGGACGGATATAAATCATACATGTTCAGTTTAAGGATCTTCCAGTCTAGCGGGAAGACAAAGGTTCAAAAAGTGATTTTAATGCAGTTTTTCACATGAGTGTTATCTGAGGTCTACACTAAGGACCCTGGATTATGGACCCTTACATGAAGGAAGTCACTTTAAAAACTAAGGATTTGATTAGGAGATATATATATATATATATATATATATATATATATATATATATATATATATATAAAATAAATATATATTATGATTTTATTTTATATGACTATATTTTATAATATGAAATATTATAAAAATATATATTTTATAGTTCTATATTACTGGGACAAATATTATATAATCATGTATATTATATATAAATATATGTATATTTATATATTTGTCCTATTTATATATATTTATATTTGTTAAGGAACGAGGGAAACAAAATGTTATGTGAATTCTCAGACTGATGATTGTGAAACAATTCTAGACTGTAGAATCATCAAATTTTAAAATATTTCTGGAAAGTATAAGTAAGTAATTTGTTCATTTATCATACATTTATTGAGCACTAGGATAGTTTGGTGACCAAAACAGACAGACCTCTGCTCTCAGAGTTCAGAGTCTAGTTGGGGAATTGGGGGGTGGCCCCTCTGCCATGGTTAGGAAATACACCGGGATCCGATGCCTGGGAATGACAAAGCCCATGGAGCGCATGCCTGAAGGACAGCTCTCATCCATTCAACACATTCCCCCCACAGACAAGGGAGCTGAAGCTTGGGAGACTTGTGGCTGATGTGGGTCAGGTCAGTGACAAGCCAGGCCTATGCTGGCTTTGGCCCCGTAGGTGCTTTGTGATTTCCTGGCTCTGCCTTGATTTCAGATTTCCTGAGCACATCATCTTAAACCTGCTTCTTTCATAGAACAAAATAGACAATGAGTAGATAGTTACTAGTAATTTCAACCCGTTGACAAGGCTGCCCCCTGTCTTCAGATGGAGGGAGTGCATTCTTTCTTAATACAAGTGAGGGCCTGCCATACTCACTCATCTCGAAATTACTAATATTTCAAATTACAGTGAGGATTAAAATCTAAGAATTCCACGATAAGACTAATAAATAGGAGACCTCAGATCATTAAAAATTCTCCAACTTTCAGATGCTTTAGATCTAGTTAAAAATACTCTTGGAATGATTTTTTTTAATGCATTTAAGGCAGAATTTATTGATAGTATCTTAAGATTGTAGCTTACAAATAAATTCAGTACTTTTCTGCTATAACAATTCTTACACAAATTAACTTGATAAAAATCAATTGATTCATAACACATTTTAGTAGCAGATTTTTTTTTTTCTTCCTGTGGTGCTGGGGATTGGACCCAGGGCCTTGTGCATGCAAGGCAAGCACTCTACCAACTGAGCTATATCCCCAGCCCAAATACAACACATTTTAGATAAAAGTATTTTCTAAGCAGCTTTGCTTTCCAAATCTATGTGGGAAACCATTTGTATTTAGATACCAAATTACCAGAATATTTTAGTCTTCATACCAGAAGAATGTTTGGTCACCCAGTTTACTTAGTTATTTTTATGATCATTTAAATTTAAAAGTAAATGCTTTGAGTTGCTCATTTTCGTTTAAATGCTATTTAATATTTACACTCTTAAAACATAATAGCAGATGCTAGAAGCTATATTTTTGATGAGGCTTTCTTATCACCAGAAGAAAATAATAATCTGTAAATAGATTAGCCTTTCAGAAATAGCTTAGGTTAAGAATATTTTTTTATTTTTCTCTTTATTTTTGTCTTTCTTTGAGAGTCAAACTTAAATAGTTTCAATTCCCCTACTAACTCTGGTGTATTCTTAATTCATGACAGTGCATACATAATACAGCTTGATCAGAGTTCCATTTAAGAAGATTCAGTACAGTCCTTTGGTGACTGGTGAAAGAAAAAGTCCCTTAGAAGTCGGATCCTACTACAACAGAGCTGTCCCTGCTGTGGTTGTCGTGTTTGTCATAGTGGGAGCTGACCCTGTGTCATTTTTCCCTGTTAAGGTTCCTCAGTGGTGTGCTGAATATTGCCTTTCCGTTCACTACCAGCATGGGGGCGTGGTGTGCACTCAGGTCCGTAAGCAGACTGCAGTCCAGCTCGCCCTGAGGGTAGCGGATGAGATGGATGTGAACATCGGGCATGAAGTTGGCTACGTGATCCCTTTTGAAAACTGCTGTACCAGTGAAACGATCCTGAGGTTAGTTCTGGAGGCTTCATCGGCTCCCTGATGACCCTTGGCCTGGGCTCTGTGATCCTGGAAGAGCATTATTCTTACTTCTATGGGTTGAGCATCTGGGGTAATAATAACCGTGTCTCAGTGTCCAGCCTGATCGCACCAGCTATGTCCCCACCTTGGCACCATCAGAGATTCTGTGTCAAAACTTCTTCCATGGCTCCCCATAATCCTCAGGAAAAAGTTGCAGCTTGTTAGGTTGGTGCCCAAAGACCTACAAGCTCATACTTATAGAGCTCTGCCTGCTCATACGCCCACATCATCACCTGTGTGCCAGCTGTGGGGGCCTCTACGCTTCTGTGCGTTTAACCTGTGCTTCCCTATGCAGAGAATCCAGGCCTCTTGTGGGCATGGCTGTTTCCTCCCAGTCACTCAAGACTCAATGGGAGAGTCACCCACACCAGGAGGCTTCCTGACCCTCTGCTGACAGGAATTTGAAACCCTCTGGGCTCCTATATATCAGCCTCCACCACACCCTTTCCATCTGTGTTCTGTAACTTTCTTTTTCAGTGTCTTAAGGCATCCCAGGAGCCTTCTCTGTGGCTACTATAAGTTGTGGTACCTCTTCTTTGTGTTTAGCTTCCGTGTGAGATTTCTTTTGAGTAAAGGCTTCCGAGAGCTTGATACAAAGAAGAAAAGAGAAAAGGAAATAGGAAGTAGGAAAATTAGAAAAGTCACTGTCCTGGACCAGCGCGTCTTGAGCAGTTTTATATCATAGCCCTCATAGACAGTGAGAGTATCTGTCCAGCACCTCAAGGAAATGGTGGGTGCTTCTTGCAGCCAGAGGTGACCACCTGTAGGCTCTAGCTGCCCGGGTGCTGCCTGCCTCTCCAGGAACTGAGGGGATCTGCATATACTGGGATCAGTATTGGTGTATCTGCACATCCATAACCCACTTATGGGGCATGCCAGCGGGCCATGACATGCCATTTAGGCAGCTATGCTTCAGAAGAACAGGACAAAGATGGCTTTCTGCACACTCATGTCCCCAACATTCAATCTGCTTATCCCACAGAGGATGCTAGCAAATTTGCTAGAGGAAGGAAATAGAATTGTTCTGGCCTAGCTACTGCTGCAGACTTGAATGTGGCTCCGTGTCCGTTCAAAAAGCCCATGTGACTTGTTTCATTTGTACTAAGCTGCTTTCCTGCAAATGTCTGTCATCAGAAATAGAAGACTTTGATTCAGGCTAGGGTCAAGCTATGGGGAATCTTCACACCAAAAGCACTCTGACTTGAACTTGTTGAGAACACATTACCTTAGTGATATAGCCCTGCTGGCCCAAGTCATCAAGTTAGTATTTCTAATAATATTTATAAAGTTCCTGTTATGTAAATGGTGCATGACTGACAAGAAATGGAAACCTTCTCTACCTCTTGGGAGCTCACAGACTAGTTGCACAGTTAGACGGGCATGACATACAATGCTGAAAGAGGGAAGGAGCCCTGGGGGTAGCTTCATTCTTCACCTTTTACAGGTTAAAGTAGCCTTTTTTTTTCTTTTTGTACTGGGGTTTGAACTCAGGGGCACTTGACCACTGAGCCATGCCCCCAGCCCTATTTTGTATTTTATTTAGAGATAGGGCCTCACTAAGTTGCATAGTGCCTCGCTCTTGCTGAGGCTGGCTTTGAACTCGTGATCCTCCTGCCTCAGCCTCCCTGAGCCACTGAGGTTACAGGCGTGCGCCACCATGCCTGGCTAAAGTAGCCTTTTGAATTGTCATGATTTTAATTAAATGATGGTTCTAAAGGTTCTGAAGTAAGTGCTTGTGTTTTTATATCTTTAATGCCATTTAGACTTTGAAAATTCTTTGATCAGCAAACCCTTGGACATAGTCATTTTAAAAATAGAATAATGGTTTTATCTTAATATGAAATCAGGTGTGTATGTGTGTGTGTGTGTTTATTTATTTTTTTAGAAAGCTACAAAGATGAGGGGCTGGGGTTGTGGCTCAGTAGTAGAGTGCTTGCCTAGCACTTTCGAGGCCCTGGGTTCGATCCTCAGCACCACATAAAAATAAACAAAATAAAACTATTGTGTCCAACTAAAAAATAAATATTTTTTAAAAAAGAAAGCTACTAAGATGAATAACTGGAAATCTAATCATATTTGCGAGTAGGTCAAGACATTCCTACCATTTAAACATCTATCACATATTGGACTTGCTTTTGTGAGATTATTCAGGGTGCAAAACTCAAGCATTCAATTCTGACAGCCAAAGGAAGGTCCACAATTTACATTATTAAAGTGTCCCTTTCTTAATAGGGACAAGAGCTTTGGGTGAGTGGGGCTGCGGTGCAAGGCACTCTGATGACAGCCTGCTTCAGCCGCTGCAGGTCTGCTGGGGCTCTTGCTGGCTGCTGGCCGCTCATGTTTTTGTATTTTCGTATTCAGCTCTGCTGCTGGGACCTGGGGCTTTCTCTTCACCCTGACCTCCCCCAAGCAGAGTCAGGAGACGTCCTGCTTGCTGTTGCTGTGAATGGGGTGCAGTCTTGGGTAGGAGGCGAAAACAATACCTTTATTTTCCTCCTGGAGCTCTGTGCTTTGGAGGAGGCAGCGTGACTCTATAATGAACCTATCCTCTGTGCTTCAGTTTCCTCATCCCTAAAATCGGATGACTGATGCACTGCTCAGAGGGGTACTGTGAGGCCTGGGTGAGTCCATATAGGGGACCCACGCATAGTGTATGTAGGTGGTAGCCATTTTGTAATTATAATTAAATTTCTAATTAGATTTTTATAATTGGAGCCAGATTCATTTTCCTGGGGAGGTATGCTAGCCATAATTTTGAATAAGCTCAGATTGAGTTGCTACTTAAGGCAAAGGATTTAAGGTTGATTGTTGATTAGAGGAGGCAGTATTCTTCATAACTCCTTGAAAACTAATCCATCAGGCACATAGTGGGCCTCAGGAAAGCCAGCTTATGTCCTCTACTTTGTTTTTTTGTTTTTTGGTTTTTGGTTTTTGGTTTTTTTGATGCTAAATATAACAGTTTCATTCTTTAAGCTTTTTTTTCTGGCCTTTTTTGAAAAAAGAAGATACCTGAATATTATATACCCAAAGTAGTCTTCTTGTAAAAGTGACACATGGATTTTAAATACTGACCTTTTCAGTTTTGAAAACTGAAAGTTCTCAAATTTCCATTAAGATCAAACTCAACATATAAAATTTTATAAAATATTAATGTTAATAAAACTTTTAAATATTTTATCATATTCTTAGCATTTTTAAGTCTTAGGGGGTTTTTGTTTGTTTGTTTGTTTGTTGCAGTGTTGGGGATTGAACCTAGGGGCACTCTACCTACCTAGAATTATAGGGGTGTACCACGGCACCCAGCAGTCTTAAGAATTTAAAATTTGTACTGCATTTCCTGAAACCTTGGCAGTGTATCTATATGTTTTTCATGGTTATCAGTAACAGCACTTTTTAAAGCACTGTACACATAAATGTAAGAAATATATCTTTGAACTATATCCATGTCAGAAAAAATTGAAGATTTGTGTAGTAAGTTTTAGGGTGAGCCTTTGTGATTCCTTTAGTTTGATATGATCATCTGGAAGCCAGGCCTTGCTTGCTGAGTTTTAAATAGGTCACCCTCTTCTCTTTTTCTAATTACACCTATGTGTATTTACGTAACACACATGCCTCCTGTCTGACAGCAGTGCTGAGATGGGTTTTGCTGAAAAAGGAACAGAGATTCAGTTTCTACCATTAAAGAAGTAGCATAGATTAAAATGATTTGTTTTAAGATGAACCAATAACAAGATGGCATTGTATCCTACTAATTAACCTTAGCAAAAGGGGACCTGAAGGCCAAACTTTGCATGCCTACATTTGTTCATCTGTATCTTGAATAAAATGCAATGTTGAAGAAGTCAAAAGATACTTTCTTCTTTAAGTTTGAGGAAAGGAATGATTGCAGTTTGTCGCTGCTCGTTTGGTAAGACACGAGAATACGTATGAAAAGGAAGGCCGAGAGGAAATGCGTTGATCCCACAGAGCAACAGAGAAAAGCAGGAACTTTATCCGCAAGATGTAGAGGCCAGGGAGGCAATCTGTAATTTAACAGTGGCATCAGACATGATAGGTGTTCAGGTTGAGATCTTGACTCTGTGCCTGGCTTTGTGACAGGGTGTTTAGCCTTTCTGAATCTCAGGTCCTCATTCATAAAAATGAGATGGTAATAAATCTATCCTGAAGATTTATTCTGAAGGTTAAGTGAGAAACCGTCTGCCCTGGACTGGCAGCTTGCCTGATACACTAGGAGCTAAAACCGTGTTTCTGTTCTTCTCTTTCTTCCTTTAAAGTGGTCAATTGAGAGCTGTGCCAGGGTCCCCAAGACCCACTAGGTATGATGATTTGCCAGGAGGATTCAGAATATAGTTTACTCACACCTAAGATGTATTGCAATCAAGATATATTTAGTGAAAGGATACAAAGCAAGACCAGCACAGAAAATGGGGTATGGGCTGAAGTTAAGAGGAAACCAGCATGAGCTTCTAGGAGTCCTTTCCCAGGGGTCACACAGCATAGTGAGTTGTGACGATATGCAAAGTGGTGTCCTCCTGGGAAACTCACTAGACTCAGTGCCCAGGGGTCTGAATGGAGGATGGTCACATAAGCACCCTCTGCCTAGTACAGTGCAAGCTTCCAGATCCCCCGGAGGAAAGCACCAGGGCAGCCTCTGTCTTGTTGCTTGTGTGGTTTAGGCACAGTGGGCCAGTGCTGTCAGTTCTGGGAAGAAAGGGTGAAAACCCTCCCCAAATCTGAGTTTCCAAATGCTAGTGAGAAAAAGCCTTGCAATCAGTCCTTTCTGAGAATAGCAGTCTCAGAACCATTATGTACAAAGACAAACAATAGCAAATACCTTAAATGGCTAGAAAATGTGTAAAATTGCTTTCTTTAAGCAACACATAGGTAAATATATGTCAGAAAGATATTTGAGTGACAGATAGGTTATTTTTTATTATTTTTAAAAACAAAATCCCAAGAACTGCTGAAAAAATCCATTAAAATCATTAATGATTCCTGCTGTCTCCAGGCATTCTGGCCAATTTGCATGCTGTTCTCATATGAAGATTATCTTTAGAGACTTGTGTTTGTTTAGTATTGGAGTGAGAGCCCAAGCTTATTGACGACAACATATTAGGGACACACTCCCACCGTGCACCGCCAGTGATGGAGATCTCCCTGTGGGAGCTGGCTGCGAGCCTGGAAAGCGTATGCTGTTACGGAGAATTCTCCCACTGATGAAGGGGAAGGGACAATGCCTACCTGGTGAGGGTGTTTTGTGGTAATGTTTTTTTATTTATAAAGCTTTGGGTCCATGTTAAACACAGCTCTTGTTACTATTTATAATAAGCATTTAGGCAGAAGTCTTCAACCTGCGATCGTCCTTAGAGAACCCATGAATATATATATATACAAACTGGGTGTAAATTTTCTTGATGTCTATTTTCCCATGTTGGAGGCCTGTAGATTCTACCACCTCAACAGTATCCTGGTCCCAGTGAAGATGTAGAGCCACTGATTTAAAGAAAAGGATACAAGGGAAAGTTCTCTGCATGACTTTCTTCAGAATATTCTAACTGTAATGTGCCTTCTTTACAGGTACTGTACTGACGACATGCTGCAAAGAGAAATGATGTCCAGTCCTTTCTTGGGTAGCTATGGGGTCGTCATCCTGGATGATGTCCATGAAAGCAGCATTGCCACCGACGTGTTACTCGGACTTCTCAAGGATGTCTTGCTAGCAAGACCAGAGCTGAAGCTCATAATTAACTGCTCCCCTCTCCTGGTCAGCAAACTCAGCTCTTACTATGGAAACGTACCTCTCATAGAGGTGAAAAATAAGCACCCTGTGGAAGTTGTGTACCTTAGTGGGGCTCAAAAGGATTCTTTCCAGTCTATTTTACGCCTTATCTTTGAAATTCACCACTCGGGTGAGGAGGGCGACATTGTAGTCTTTCTGACCTGTGAGCAAGTAAGTAAGTGCTACTTTGACCCAGCAGTGTGTAATGAGGAATTTCATTTGGGAAGCTTTTAATAACTAACACACGGTTTCCATCTGCCGGGTAACTGTTTAAACATTGAGCTCCATCACACCTCATTCTTTGACACTTCCAAAGCCTTGGCAGGGTAAATAAAACCTGCGCTGAGAGGGGAACAGGGAAGTGTTGCTGAAGTCACATGCTGTTCTGCAAACAGAAAGCGAGGCTGCGAGGTGCCTGTGGAAGTGATCTCCAGGCCAGCTCCCTGGCCAGGGCTGCCCGGCCCAGGCCTGCTGGCTTCCTCGTTGTCTGTGCAGTAGACACACAGGGACTCTCAACTGCTCCCTGGTGCCCAGGCACATTTGTGGAGATCACAAATCTCACCTAAGCTCTTGGGATGGAGTTCAGCAGCAACAAAGTTCCCATAAATGTTCCTGTGACAGTGGGGTGCGAGACAGAAATGGTGGATTGTGCTCCCCAGAAGGCCATCTCCCTAGAATGAGCCTCCTTTACTTAAAGATGGAGGAAAAACCTTAACTTGGATTTCTTGCAAACTTCTCTTCAAAAGAATGCTTGGAAATGTACAGTTGAGCCTCTTTTCCATTTTTGGTTGCTTTTCTACAGCGAGTTGCCATTGGGGTTACTTCATTTTTTTATTGAAGCTACACTGACTCTTCGTTGGTTCATGGGCAGAATCTAAAAGCCCCCAGATCACCAGAATCCCACCTCTTCTTAGAGACTGGTTGCCTGGTCCTCTTCCCTTCAAATCTGTTCACTTCGAGAGTAAAAGTACTAGTTCTTAGACCATGACCCGAACAGATAGTGATTCTAGTGATTTAACAGAAACCGAGGAGGAAACTGTTCCCTGCAGGCTGTGTCACCTGCTGAAGAGAGGAGCATCTGCTCCTCTGTCAGAGCCTCTGCCTGCACATTCCTGTACTGCCAGGAAGAGCCCAGGAGAGTCCCTGCCTCTCAGAGCAGGAGGAACACTGGTCCTCCTAGCTTTGGGAACTTTAGACAGTTTTCTTACAACTTAAATGTTACCTGTTTCCTTAAAGAAAGTCACTTAGAATCCTAAATGTGTATGTTCTACAGTGTATTTATCAATTTTTTGTACAAAGATGATAAACATTCTCTTGAATAGTAATCCACCTATGAGAGTGATTTATTCTATTGTCATGTCCTAACCTTGCATGATTTAGGATATTCAAAAAAGTCCTCAGGAGCATAATAAAATGACTAAGGAGGCAGAGAATCTATGAAAACAGAGGTCCCCAGTGTCACTGAGTGAACCTAAGGAAGGGAAAAATGGCAACATAAGAAATCTAAAGCATATAGAATTGCCAGGTGAAAAAGCAGACCTGCATTTCTGCAAAAGGAGAAAGTGTAATTAAGCCTGGTGGGATGAACGGTTATCTTGTCTTTCAAGTACGTAAACAAAAATTTCAAAATGAACTTTTGAAAAATAAAAGCTTGTAACAGAATTGGAATGGTGGTCTTAAAGCATTTGATCCTTGTAAGTAACGTAAGCTATAAACTAACGGCAGCAGTGACTGTTGACCTGCTGGACTTTAGAAGGTAAACTTCACTGAGGCAGGTTGTGGAAACCGAGTCCACAGGATGCCAGACTGCCAGGGTATTTCTGTCAGGAAAACCTCAGTCTTACAATCTGAAGATCTTGAAAATTATATGCTAGGATAGCTGCCGGGTTTCTATTCTCGAGACTAAAAGGCTCAGGGGTCACTCCAGTTGAACTGGGCTAACTGGAGTGACTCCAAAGAAAAAAGTATTCGTGTCTCTAGTCGCTGTGACGGCTCCTCTGACCTTAAGGGTCCAGAACGAGAGCGAGAGCACGTGCTGACTCCTTTTATTGAGGAGAAGGGATTCAAATGAGGCAAGGGGTCAGGTTTCAGGGGGCTGAATCTAACTTCATGATGTCCACTGTCAGCAGGTTGACGGACACCTGGGTAGGCCACACCCAAGGGCACAGTAAGAGAAGGACACACACACAAGGCACTGCCATGGAAGATTCTATCCTAAACAGGGCAAGGGGTTATATTACAAAGGAACAGGTGAGCGTAGCTCCACCCATGGGGCTGTAGGAAGACACACCCATGCACGAGACCCCGACCCTCGAGCCTCGAACCCAAGAAGGGTGAGGAAAGCTCTGCCACATTTCTGCGACTGAGCGCCTCAGCACCCAGCCGGGGAGTGTAACTCAGTCACGTGTAAGGTTGGTCTCCCACAGATAGCTGCAGGGGGATTTTGTAGTTCTGGCCTCTGAGAGTAAGATCCCTGAAGACGCTGGAGACCCTCTGGTCCATAGGCAGTAGCTGCCGCAGTTCTGCTGACTCCTGCAGACCTTCCCTGGAAGCTGGCTCTTCCTGGTGATTCAGCCCCACAGTCCACCCAACAGGTGCAACACAGTGTGGTTATGGGCTTCTCTTTTACCCCTCTTATTCCATCACTGTTAAGATATTCCTCTTTGATGGTCTTGGAAAGGTTTGTCTTGCTTGGAAATCCCTGTTCACAGCTGTGGATCATTATTTCCCTGTGCTATTTGAAGCTTTCTTGGTTCTTATATAAAGCTTTAAAACCTTCCATAGTGCTTAAGTAGCATATGAGAACAAACCCAGGCAGTTTAGTGGAATAGTGCTCGCTGTGATTTTTTATTGAAAAAGTACATTTCAAATTGCAGAAACATTTTGGTTTCATTGAGTCAGTAATGCATTCACATTAGGTATGTGATATTTTTCTCAAAGTTCTTGCTTAGTGTCACATCTGCTGTGAATTAATCCCCATAATTCACCTGTTACCCAGGGTCTTGGCACCTGAGACTTACAGCCCTGAATGTTTACAGGGTATTGTTCTTATCACTTAGCTATCATTTAGCCTGAAAACAAAAACTCGAACAAGTAGAAAATGTAGGGTGAGATTTATGGTGGTGTCTAGCCCCAGAGTACCCTGCAATGACAAACTGTCAGAGAAGCTGTTGGCAGGTTGGCATTTTCTGGTTCTATGCAGTTGAGGGTCTCCTCTCGTTTTGGAGGCTGGACATCTACTGAATATTGTCCTTCAGTAGATGTTGCCATTTTGCATAGCTATACAGGTAACTTCCTATATATACAAAGGCTCTGGACACATGGAGTAAGAAGATTCAAGGAAATGATTGAACAAAAGATATTAGGCACCAGGTGTGTTTTAAGCATTTTTAAATTTCTGAAGCTTATGGCCTCAAAGCTCTCTATCATCTGTGCTTGAAGACTCTAAATTTTGTGTGTGTTTTTATTTTTATTTTGGTACCAGGGGTTGAACCCAGAGGCACTTAGCCTCTGAGCCACATCCCCAGCCATCTTTATTTTTTATTTTGAGACAGGGTCTTATTAAATTGCCTAGGGCCTACCAGGCCTCTGGGATTAAAGGTGTGCACCACCATGCCCAGCAAGTCTAACTTTTATTTATATATATATATGGGTTTTTTTTAGAAATATTTTGTTTCTAGTTGTAATTGGACACAATACTTCTATTTTATTTTATTTTTATGTGGTGCTGAGGATAAAACCCAGTGCCCCACATGTGCTAGGCGAGTACTCTACCGCTGAGCCACAACCCCAGCCCCTATGTAATATATATTTAGATCTCATTCTGCTTTTTCCTACTAAGGGTTTATCCCCCATCCCACTTTGGAACAAAATTCAACATTTGAACCTATCCCCAACTAAAAAGTTTGACAACTAAAAGCAAATTAAAAATTAGTTATTAAAATTATTCTTTCAACAGTATTCTAAGTATAAGAGTAAATATTTTAGAGTACCTGGAATCGAGCCTCCTTTCCCATCCCCAGGTTAGCTGCAGAGGGTGTTAACCTGTGCCATTTGGGAGGAGTGGTGGGTCTCTGGGCAGGCCAGCCCCAGCAAGGTCCAGGAGCTCAGGGCTCAGTTGTTTTCCTTTTAATTTCTAGGCTGTCCTCACAACATATGTGAGATAAAAGGAAGTGATTAGAATTGTAAAAGTGGAAAAATAGTTTGTTCTTACTATTCCATTTGGCAAGTTTTCATTTATTTATGATCAACAGTCATGCTGTTTGTTAAAAAAAAAAAAAAATCAGCTAGACATGGAGGAGCATGCCTGTAATCCCAATGAGGCTGAGGCAGGAGAAACACCAGTTCAAAATCAGTCTCAGCAACTTCCCAAGCCCCTGTCTCAAAATCAAAAGGTCTAGGGATGTGGCTCAGTGGTTAAGAGCCCCTGGATTCAATCCCTGGTACCTAAAGGATCAAGAAAAGAAAAAAAGTAGCTTACCCCAGTTCTTAGATATCTGTGAAGCCTGACCCTTTTTTTTCAAGCAGATCTGTCTTCCTCCAAAACCCTTGAGTTAACTCAATCCCATTCTACAAAAGGTATAGAAAGGAAGGCATCACAAGGTAGAAAAACAGAGTACAGTTAAGTCCTAAACTTTAAGGGTCACAGGAAGCCATCTTTCAACTTAATGGAATCTAACAAATTCAGTGAAGCTTCTTTCACTTGGTAGTTTGTTAGACCATTTAAAAGGTTAAAAGTTTGGAAACATAAAGAGGAGTCAAAATTACAGTGTGACATCTCTTTTATATGACTTTCTAAAAACTTAGGTGTGATTTGAAAAGTAGAAAAACACTCTCTTGGGGCTGGGGTTGAGGCCCAGCGGTAGAGCACTCGCCTCGCTCATGTGAGACCCTGGGTTCAATCCTCAGCACCACATAAAAATAAATAAACAAAATAAAGATATTGTGTCCATGTATAACTAAAAAAATATTTTAAGAAACACTCTCTAAAATGCCTTACCTTTTAAGCATTTTCTGTCAATTATTTGTACATAGTTTTATGGCAAATAGTTTTATTTTCATTTTTTATTTTTTGTGGTACTGGGGATTGAGCCCAGGGGTGCTCTACCACTGAGGTACATTCCTAGCCCTTTTTATTTTTTTAAATTTTGAGACAGGGTCTTGCCAAATTGCTGAGGCCGACCTCAAACTTGTGATCGTCCTGCCCCAGGCTTCTGAGTTGCTGGGGTTTGAGGCATGTGCCACCATGCCCGACCATAATTTACATTTTCCCCCATGCTCTATCTGACATGTAGTTAAACATATTTCTAGACACCTGAATCATGCAAAGATGTTCAGTAGCACTATTTGCTCTGTACTTTATTGTATTTCTGCTACTTTAAAGGGCTAATGAGTCAAAATCAGTTTTAGAATGATCCAGATGGGGATCCTGATTATATTTGTCTATGTGCCTTTATAGGAAATGTGCAGCAAGTGTGTATTTCCCAGGTCTGCTAGTGTTAAAGTGCAGCAATGCATCCTCACTGATACAAGAATAAGTTTTGTCTACCTGTTATTGCTTATAGATATGAGCAGCCTCATCAAGCTGGAGAAATAGCCAGATAATGAGGCAAAGGCAAAGATAGTACATCTCACAAGAGGAAACCCATTTTGGACCAAAAGCAATGAAATCACTTATAAATTATATTTAATGACCCCAATGAAATTTTCTTCTCCAGTTATATCTTATTTAAAGATATATATAGGCAACAACCAAGGCATTTCTTTCCCTGCCTGCTTTATACAGAATTGGCTATAATTTTATTGAATTCTGACTTTTTTAAAAAAATAACAATTTGTGTTGTGCTTATTCTCATGGGTGATTTTTTTTTTTTTTTTTTTTTTTTTTAATGCTAGGATATTGGAAAAGCCTATGAGATTGTCTGCCAAGAAGGGTCTAACTTAATCCCAGACCTTGGAGAACTGGTGGTGGTTCCTTTGTACCCCAGAGAAAAGTGTGCACTATTCAAGCCAATGGATGAAACAGAGAAGAAATGCCAAGTTTATCCAAGAAGAGTGGTGTTGACCACCAGCTCTGGGGAATCTCTGATCTGGAGCAACACAGTCAGATTTGTTATTGATGTGGGTGTGGAGAGAAGAAGGGTAATTATCATCAAAGAGATTAAATAATGTGCTGATGATCACGAAGATCCACTTTCTTGGGTTTCCACCATTTTGCTGGCCAGAAAGTGAGAATGCACCGTTGTGTCCTGGATTCTCTAAATTTGGTCACACATGCAAAGAAGAGTGATGTTGGTAGTTTGGAAACAAATTAAACTGATTGAGGTACCAGAGGAGGCTTGGAGAAAAGACAAAACGTTAGCATGAGGGTAGTAGTTCTCTTTGTCCGTGTATTTTCTTTTGATAAGGTCCCAGCATAGGACACCTAAACTTATCTTCTCCTGTGTACATCTAGATAATTTTTGGTAGCCCCTTTATCAAAGCAATTAGCATCTTGCCCAAGGAATTTACTAGAAATCAGAAGTGCACCATCTTTAATTTTAGCAAATATTGGCTTGCAATGTACTAAATTTTTTAGAACATATATTGCTTGAATGAAGCTATTTTAGATAAGATACCTTTATCAGTCCCTTTAAAATAAAAAAAATTATGGAAAATGAAAATAAGCTCTCAAGCTCCAAAGTCACTGGGACTAAAGATATCATAGCCTTTGAGAGCTGAAAGGGAATTAGCAAATATTGATTCATTTACCATTATTAGATGTTGAACACCTAAATATCCTTGTGTTACTGTGACAAAAAATAGTCCCAAAGGTTATGAAGGTTCCTTTGGAGCCAGTTAGAGTTGATCTTGACTGAAGTAGTCCACCATTCAGGAACCCAAGTGCTGCTTGCCCCTGAAGTCATTCGTAAAACTTGCTGTTCGTGCTGTCTGTGGTTTCTTATAGTAGGTGTTGTACCTGAGAAAGCTTAGAGCACATGATACATCAGAGCATTACCACTAGGAGCAGCAGCGCTTTTCTCCATGTGGCTGGAAAGTTAGCAGCGCTAGTATCTCAGCAGATGGTGCAATGGCCCCCAAGTTCTGGAAGCCGCAGGGAGAGCAGACAACCTTCCAGCCATGTGTTGAAGCACTTGCAGTTCCTGTTTCATGGAAGTGAACTAATAGTAAATGCAGACAAAGGAAAGGCACCTATATGAGCGCGTCCTCACAGCAACGTGCATCATGGCATGGTAGTTGCCTGAGGCTAACGCTGCTGTCTTTCCATTAAAGGTGTACAACCCCAGGATCAGAGCCAACTCCCTCGTCACACAGCCCATCAGCCAAAGCCAAGCGGAGATTCGCAAGCAGATTCTCGGGGCATCCTCTTCAGGTAGCACTGCGGACACAGAAACCAAATGCGGATGTTTAGATGAAGGCCACACAGAGGCACTGAAGTCACTTTCCTTGATTTCTTATAGGGAAACTTTTCTGTCTGTACACTGAAGAATTTGCCTCCAAAGACATGAGGCCACTGAAACCAGCAGAAATGCAAGAAGCCAACCTAACCAGCATGGTGCTCTTCATGAAGAGGATTGACATTGCAGGCTTGGGCCACTGCGACTTCATGAACAGGCCAGGTAGCGGGACCTGGGGGCCACAACTTACCTGTTGATCTCCTGCCCTCTCCAGTTCTGAGAACAGATGGCACCTGGCAGTGCAAGCAAAGGCATCTGGTTGGGTCCAAAGCATTTCTCCCATTAGAGGCAACATTCTCTGACAGAAGCCCCCAAACCTCTAGGAAGCATCTTTGCTGTCACTGGGTAATATCTGCCACTGACCACTGGACTGTCTAGGCCTGAGAAACAGGTGGGGCAGTGGAGTCTCGGAGTGCAGGGGAAGATGGAGACAGCACCCCTGCAGCTCAGAGATTCTTGGAAGGGATGTTTGAAGGCCAGTGGTCCTTCCTTATGAGCCATGCTGTCTCCTGAGGAAGAGCCACTAGAATTCCACTCCTTTATAGTTGAGGTCAAACTCCGACACGAGGGAGGTGATGTTCTTAAACTCTGGGTGGAGTTACACTCTGAGCATGCTCCTCCTGAGCATCTAATGGACACACTAAGAACAGCCCTGCCCTAGCACACTTATGGCTTTGTCCCTTGAGTCCATGCCTTGTCAGGACCTGTGCTGGCCACCAAATGCTGAGGAAAATCCCCAGAGCAGGCAGCACCCAGGCCAGAGTGGCTCAGGGTACTTGGGGGAGGAAGCAGGCGGTGGTTCCCACGCATTCCCACGTGGTTTGACCTGCCTGTGCTGGGTAAACCCCCTCAGCTCTAGGCACAGCATCCTGGCATGGGGTCACTTGGTTTTAAATGTCAACAGCCAGCTGGTGGTTTGCAGGCAGCAATGCTGTGCTTATTCCTATCCACTTCAATACCAGCCTGTCCCCACAGGAATAACAACAGTGACATTTATATGGCTGGTGTTTAGTATCATGTGAAACAATTTAATATAGCGACCCTGCGAAGGGAGGGCTATTATTTGCTCCATTTTACAGATGAGGAAACTGAGTCACAAAGAAAGGAGGTAACCCACTGCCATTGAAGAAGGTGAACGTCAAACCCTGGCAGTGTAGAGCCCTCCTACCACACTGCCACCCGCTTGCACCTGCCCCTAGCCCCAGGCCCCGTACCCTTGCGCCTGCCACTTTGCCCCCTGACCTGCAGCTTGCCCTCAGTAAAGCTAAGGGATGTGGCTTCTCCTGGGAAGGTCCCTGGCTGAGTGTGGCAGTCCTTGGCTGTCATGTTAGTTTTCACTTGGGCTCTATGTTAAAGGAACATCCTTAATTTTGTCAGCACTTTAAGCTGGTGGTTGTGATTTGCACTTTACCAAAGATGTAAATGACAGCCTCCTGGCCTGGGGGCTCTGCTATCTTTTTTGTTGTTGTGGTTCTAACTAGTTACACATGACAGTAGAATGCATTTTGACATATTGTACTCAAATGGAGCACAGCTTCTCATTCCTCTGGCAGTACATGGTGCAGAGTCACTCCAGGAGTGTAGTCATACATGTATAGAGTAATAATGTCTGTCTCATTCTACCTTCCCTCCCATCCTCACAGCCCCTCCCTCCCCTCCCTTGCCTCTACACAAACCAAAGTTCCTTCATTCTTCCCCATCCCCCCACCCCACTATGGATCAGCATCCACTTACCAGAGAAAACATTCAGCTTTTGGTTTTTTGGGATTAGCTTATTTCATTTAGCATCATATTCTCTAGTTCCATCCATTTACCTGCAAATGCCATAATGTCATTCTTCTTGAAGGCTAGTATATTACATTGTGTGTATGTTCCACATTTTCTTTATCCATTCATCTGTTGAAAGGCATCTAGGTTGGTTTCATATTTAACTATTGTGAATTGAGCTGCTATGAACATTGATGTGGCTGCATTACTATACTATGCTGATTTAAATCCTTTGGGTATAAACCAAGGAGTGGGATAGCTGGGCCATTCCAAGTTTTCTGAGATACCTCTATAGTAGTTGTACCATTTTGCAGCCCCACCAGCAATGTATGAGTGTATCTTTTTTTCCACATCCTCACCAACACTTATTATTGCTAGTATTCTTGATAATTTCCATTCTATGAAATTATGAATAATTTCCATTCTGACTATGAAATTCTGACTATGAATCAAAACTACTCTAAGATTTCATTTCAAATCTTAGAGTAGTTTTGATTCATATTTCTCTACTTGCTAGAGATGATGAACATTTTTTCATGTTTGTTGATCAGTTGTATTTCTTCTTCTGTGAAGTGTCTGTTCAGTTCCTTAGCCCATTTGTTGATTGGGTTTTTTGTTTGTTTGATGTTAAGTTTTTTTGAGCTCTTTTTATATCCTGGAGATTAGTGCTCTACCTGAGGTGCGTTTAGTAAATTTTTTCCATTATGTAAGTTCTCTCCACACATTATTGTTTCCTTTGCTGAGAAGCTTTTTAGTTTAAATCTGTCCCATTTATTGATTCTTGATTTTTACTTCTTGCACTTTAGAAGTCTTGTTCAGGAAGTTAGGTCCTAAGCCAACATAATGAAGATTTGAGCCTGCTTTTTCTTCTTAATAGAAGTCTGTGTTCTAGTGTCTTAAGTCTTTGATCCACTTTGAGTTGATTTTGTGCAGGGTGAGAGAGAGAGATTTAATTTCGTTTTGCTATGTATGATTTCCTGTTTTGCCAGCACCATTTGTTGAAAAGGCTATCTTTTCTCCAGTGAATGTTTTTGGCATCCTTGTCTAGTATGAGATAACCATATTTATGTGGGTTTGTCTCTGCGTTTTCTATTCTGTACCATTGGTCTACATGTCTATTTTGGTACCAGTTTCAGGTCTGGTATTATGAGGCCTCCTGCTTCACTCTTCTTGCTGAGGATTGCTTTGGCTATTCTGGGTCTCTTATTTTTCCAGGCCCCATACCCTTGCGATTGCTTTTTCTAGTTCTATGAAGAATGCCATTGGGATTTGAATAGGAATTGCATTAAATCTATATAATAGTTTTGATAGTATGCCATTTTGATTATGTTAATTCTGCCTATCCAAGAGCATGGGAGGGCGATCTTTCTATCCTCTATTATCTTTTTCACTTTCTTTCTTTAGTGTTCTGAAGTCATTGTAAAGGTCTTTTGAGTCCCAAATATTTTATTTTATTTTTTTAGGCTAGGGTGGTTTTTCTAATCTCTCTTCCAGTGGATTCATTGCTTATGTATATAAGTGCATTTGGTTTATGGGTATTGAGTTTATATCCTGCTACTTTGCTGAATTCATTTATTAGTTCTAGAAGTTTTTTGGTGGAATTTTTTGGATCTTCTAAATATAGAACCATGTCATTGGCAAATAGTGATAGTTTGAGTTCTTCTTTTCCTGTGTGTATCCATTTAATTTCTTTCATCTGATTGCTTTAGCTAGAGCTTCAAGGACTATATTGAATAGAAGTGGTGAAAGAGGGAATCTCTGTCTTGTTCCAGTTTTTAGAGGGAATCCTTTCAATTTTTCTCCATTTAGAATGATGTTGGCCTTGGGCTTAGCATGGATAGCTTTTACAGTGTTGAGGTATGTTCCTAGTATCCCTAGTTTTTCTAGTGTTTTGAACAAGAAGAGGTACTGTATTTTGTCCAGTGCTTTCTCTGCATCTATTGAGATAATCATGATTCTTGTCTTTAAGTCTATTGATGTGATGTATACATTTATTGATTTCCATATGTTGAACCAACATGCATCCCTGTGGTATTCTTGTCAGTTGTCACTTTGCACAAGGGACAGAAGTTGGCAATAGGCCTTGGAATCAGAGGGTCCTTAGGGTAGAAGCTGTACAATTTCTACTGTTTGCACTGCCTCTCTTCTATCATTTACCCAGTGGCACGAGTAGGATTTAGGGGCACTCAAGAAAATGTAAATGATTTTAGAGTTACTTTTTCCTCAAAAAAAATTTTTTTACAATACTGGTAGAATTTGGGACAAATTTTTTTATACAAGAGAATTTTATAAGTGAAGGTGAAGTGTAAGCTAGGCAAGAGTCAGGTAAAGCAGGGTAAGGCTCAAGCAGAGAATGGCCGTTTCTGAGCAAAAAACAACAAAGACATGCTGCTTATGGTTGTCTTGGGAATCACCAATTTTTAGTAAGAAGAGGGTCACCTAAGGATGCTGACTTTGAAAATAAAAAGGTAAAGGGCTGGGGTTGTAGCTCAGTGGTAGAGTGCTCACCTAGTACATGTGAGGCACTAGATTCGATCCTCAGCACCATATAAAAATGAAATAAAGATATTAAAAAAAAAAAAGAAAAAGTAAAAAGATAGATGGAGTGCAGACAGTTTACAATCCGAGGAAGAGCAGTGTTGAAGTCCTCAGGGCTGGTGCCTGCTGCAGAGGGGCCCAGGAAACAGCTGCAGCTGCCAGGCCAGCAAGAGTGGATCCTGCCCCTCAACAGTGCCCAGTCCTCCCCAAATCCCCCAAGGAGTTCCCTATTGAATTCTCCTAATAAACGTCTTGAAAAACCATTACTATGTTCCAAGAAGCCACTACTCCTCTAGGTGAGAATCTTTTCGAAAAATTAAGATTTTCAAATTTACTTTTGGGGACTCTGGAATCTTCAAAAAAGGGTCATTACCTAAATTAGCAGTAGCTTCCTGGAACCAGACAAGCTCCTGTCTCTTCTAAATAGACTTCCTTCCCATGGCTGTTCCCCCCACCCGACTATCTGTCCTTGCAGTGAAAGGATCGTGGGCAGTGGTCCTGCAAGAAATATGCTCGCTCGCTCTCTCTCTCTCTCTCTCTCTCTCTCCCTCTCCCCCTCCCCTCACACACACACACATACACACACACACACACACACACACTGCCTTTGTGCTAAGTCTGTGGGAGTAGACAGTGTCCCTGAAATCCAGGAGTGAACTAGAGGAGAGATGTCCTTGGGCTGAAGACTCTGGCTCCCCAGAGCTTAGGGGATCAAGATCACAGTGTAAAAGGGGAAATTCTGGAATAAGGAGGAAGAGGCTAGAAGAGCTGAGGCCTGCAGGAAATAGAAGCCTGGAGGGAATGCGTGGAAGGACAACCTTGAGAATTAGATTGCAAAGTGAGCTCTATCCCGCTGC